ATTATTAATAGAGTGTCCCACAAGAAGACAAAACATGTCAAACGAAGTATAGAAAGGAAAGAAACCATCCTTGAAATACTTGAAAGTGTGAGGGTGCTTAGTTAAGGTTGCGGTTCCTAAACCCAAAAGGTTAAGAATCGAACCTAAGACAGTGAACTATGTGTTCGTGTGTTATGCACTCTTTTTTGTTTAATTAATATTTGTAACCCCATACTTTCTTTATTAAGTATATATTAAATTTTAGAAGAACAATCTATGATTTAAATTACAAAATTAGTTCTGAAATATTCTCACAAAATCAGAAAATAGCTTTATATAACAAACCATACCTTTAAGATTTGATTAAGTATGGCCTTTTATGCATATAATTACATAAGTTTAGGAAATTAAGGAATTATATAGTTAAATTGTGTAATTTTAAGATAAATATGTTACGAAAGCTAGAATTGATCTATTAATCATCTGATTGACATGATATAAATTATGAAAATATAATTCATGTCAAACAAGTTAATTAGGACCCTTAAAGTAATATCTGAAAAGTTTAGAGGTCAAAGTATAGTATATGAAAGTTTAGGGACCAATTTTCAATTAGGCAAAACTTGGCCTAAACTTTAATTAGATGATGTAATTAAATTTTTTAAAAAATTCTAAGGGTTTTAAGTGGGTTTAATTTAAGTTAATTATGTCTAGAATAATGATGAAAATTAAGTCAAAGTTATGTTAAAATCAACTAATAAGAATAATTATAGGTCAAAGTAATGACTAAGTTAATAAACCAAGCTTAATAACTAAGTTACCATGTCTTTTAAGCTATCTATATGTCAAGGTCGGTTCTTCCACTTGCTATCCACACAAATATGAACTTAGGAAGAAAGGAGGAGTGTGTTTAATAGGTTAGCAAATTCAATTGGTTTAAAAATCACAGAAAGTCAACAAAAATGGCTAGTAAGCTTTTAAATGTTTCAAGGTGGTTTTCCGTCTTGTTTCTTCTTCTAACCCATGAAATTTATGCTCTTTTTCCTCTACATAGACCAACCACCAACAGAGAACTTTGAGAGCTCATATCTCTTAGAAAACCTCACAAAAATATCATGACTATTTCACAAGAAATCTTCCTTACAACCTTAGGAATCTTTCTATGGTTTTAGTTTCTTCTTTGAAGCTTTCAATCTCTTGTTTTTCTTCTCTAAAACCTTCAACCTATGTACTGTTTATGAAGGAAAAGTTCAGATTTTTTATGGTTTGAAGCTTGGAGAATAATCTCTAGGTAATTTGGAGTTTATTGGTGTCAAGAAATTCAAGTTTAAACGGTTAGTTTTCAAGTTATAATTTTTAGGTTTTTGGATGAACATGGCTGAACATGGATGATGTTAAATCATGTTTATATGTTTTGTTTTGATGTGTAATGATGGTATTTAATGGTTGTGGAGTTGATTGAATAATGTTTGAACCATTGGAAATTGAAAAGAAGTTGATAAACCCTATAAGAGGCAAATCTGACCTCTTTCTTGAAAAAGGCATATATGGAGTTATAGGACTCTAAATTGAGTGTAGTTTATACTAAATTAAAGCTATATATGTCTAGTCTACCATATCCAAAATTTAGGGCAATCAAATCAGAAATTGATTTTTCGTGAATTAATTAGTTCAGACTGTCCATGTTGGACATTTATACTATCATTTCGGCCATAATGAAGAAAAAGGACTTGGAAGTTTGTTGGCTGATATTTTAGGGATTTTTGGTGCTAAATGAATGTATTATACTGGACTGAATTAGTTGGCTCATTAGTTGAAAGCATGAAATGGTCATTGGCACCTTAAATGGTCATTGGGCTAAATAATGATAAGTTGATGATTGGTGTGGTAAATGGCTATGTGAAGTTTGAAAAAATAAATGGCAACCTTACTAGTATCATTCGACCACTATGTGGTTATGTGACTTAGGTATGGTTTTTAATTCAATTAAATACTTGGTTGTATAAATCAGATAAAATCAAGTGTATGTTAAGTTAGTGAAAGTGTGGAAACCTAAGTTAAACTATAGGTTAAGTTATTTATGTTGAAAGTGTCATTATGTAAGGTTTTAAGAATATGTCTAAAATAGAGTTTGACTTTTGAATTGGTATGAATTGGCATGATTTGGTAATTAGGAATGTGAAAAGGATTATGTGAACTAACTTGAAGAAGAATTTCGAAATATGTATATATATAAGAGGATTTCTTCAAGTACAAGTAATTATGTATTGACATAAAAATCATGTTTGAATATGTGATCTTGACTGTTACAGATATACGGATAGCTTTACTGACGTACGAGTAAGGTTTACAGGAAAGCTAGTTCCACGTAAGCTCTTGGTTTATGAATTTTCTCTTGTATGTTGTTCTACATGGTCGAATAGAATTCTGGTTCACATGGTATGTGTTGTGATGAATGTAGACAATGGCGGACGTAGGTAGGCGCACGTGACTGCACTTGCGACATAAAAATTTGAAAAAAAATATCAAAAAAAAATTGAGTTTGCAATTGTTGTTGGGTTCTTCTATCTATGTTATATGAAGACTGAAGGTGATTAAAAAAAACCCTTGGCTCCTTCTTCTTCGATCAACCATGAAGCTTGAAGTACAAGGATGACCACAACAGGGACGCACAACAAAAACACCACCATAGGAATCCTTGAGGTCCGCCAGTGAACCAGACCCTCAAAAATGTTCAAAGGTATGGTTTTTATTCCCCCAAAATACTTGTTTCTTCTGTTTAGTTTGTTGCTTGCAATTTTTGCTCAGAATTTCATAAAAATAAGAAATTTCAGGATATTATTGGTGTTGGCAATGGCAAGTAAACAAGCTCTTGCATTTAATATTATTATTTTTGACTGATTGTTTTCCTCTTCAACCAGATGGACTATGTTTTCTTCCAAACACTATTCAAGCTCATGCTTCCTATGCCTTCAACAGCTTCTATTAGCGCAAAAACAGAGCTCCTGGCTCTTGTGATTTTTCTGGCACTGCCACCATTGCCCAAAGCGATCCCAGTATGACCCATTTTTTTCATTCTTTCATTCCTTTTATATATTATTTTATACACTCATATCTAATGATACTGATACGTGAGTAATGCTTTTTATTTTTAAACAGGTTTAAGTTAATCGTGTCTTTTTATATAATTTATACTATTATATACCGTGGATCTTGTTTGTTATGGATTTGAAAGGGAGAACTCCAATATTCCCTTTGCCAAAGATTACAAGTTATAATTCCTTTTACATCATCACCAACAACCCAATAACTAAATAAATGCAACTGAACATTTACACATGAATTCTGTGAGATTAAAGGAAAAGGTAAAAAAAACTTGAAAGTTGCTTTCAAAATAACTACAGGTAGTCCACAAACATCTACAATTCTTGTAATTTTTTTTAGTACACCAATTCTTGTAATTTTAATGTAGGCATAAAAAGAATACATTTATGACTTCTAAACCATGAACTTTCCAACTATCATCAGCTTATAGTATAAATCTTTGTGTTATGTTAAATTATAGAATAAATCTTTGTAATATATTAAATTATAGAATAAATCTTTGTGTTATATACCAAATTGCCTATTATTGATTGATTTATTCTATTTAATTTATTTAAACCTTCTTTTTCTAAAGGAGAAAAAAGTACAACCCCACAAATAATTAGTGGCAACACAAAAAGATTAGCAAAATCCACTTTCTGCTAGTGGTTCCCTTTAGACAGCCACGATTACCTAGTATGGAATAATTTGCTTGTGTCATTATTCCACATAATGACAAGTATGGAAGAATTTTCTTGTGCTTGGATGAAATTATATGGAAGGTGAGGAAACATGTTGGACAATGTCTACTAAAAATGAGAGCTAAAATTTGGAAATTTTTCTCAGTTTATTTATTCTGCTTGCTTCTGAGTCACATCAATTAATGGCATTCACATGGTTTTTTTGGCCTTGTAACGACGGAGTGCCACATTACTCAAAGTACTTCAGCCTATTATTCTTCTTTATTTCAAAGACCCCATAAACAAACCCCTCTTCAGCCTATTATTCTTCTTTACTTAAGGGCACAATCGGTTAGCAGTGGCAAATTGTTCAGTTTGTTAGATAAATATACGTGAGATTGAACTTGAGCATCTGCCTTCTAAGAAATGAGAGAATGGCTTTGTAGAGGAAGTTGGAGAAGGCGAAGTACTAATGAGGAAGCCAGTTTGTAAGATGTTGAAACATTAAGAGCACAAACAATTGTGGGTTCGTAGTAATTTGACAAGTCTCAATGAAAGGTAACTTTCTATATTTATTTATTTGTTATAAATGTTTTAATATCAACAAATGGTATAATTGATATTTACTTTTCAATTTTTATGTTGTAGTTGTTTCACTAACATAATGAGTATAATTGTTTTAAGTATAAATTATGATTTGTCAGGGATGCAATTTTATTTCAAACGTCTAAAACCCACAAATACAGAACCCAAATCTCAAAGTGAACAAGTTTCAAATAGTATTTCAGTTCCAATTATGGAAAATTCTCCTCAAGATCAAAGACAAAGTGTACCACCTTAAGCTTCTCAATTTCAAAGTTTTCAATCACCATTTCAAGCAAAAGTTAATATAGAAAATCTTAAAGCGGATCCGGGAAATAGACCTTCTATTTATTCAATGACATCAAATCATATAGAGAGAGAGGTGAGAGATAATGATGCTGCAAGAATGATGTTGCAAGAACTGATGCAGGTTGCATTTTGTATGCTATGGAGGATTTTGAGTTTGCATTCTTGTTGCATCTTATGCAACTTATCTTGGGGATTTCTTATGAGTTCTCACAAGCACTACAAAGAAAAGATCAAGACCTTTTAAATTCAATTGATTTAGTGAAGGTAGTCAAGTCTCGCTTATAAGAGGTGAGAGATAATGATTTTGATGAATTGCTTCAAGAAACGAACATTTTTGCTAATAAATATGATATTAAGATTCTAAATATGGAGGATGTTTATTGTCCTAAAGGGAGATCAAGACGGAGATTGGAATCATTCACATTCTTGCACTACTTTAAGGTAGAGTTATTTAATAGAGTGATAAATACTCAGGTTCAAGAGTTGGGTGATCGATTTGATAATGTCAATACCAAGTTGCTTGAGTGTTTGAGTTGTCTTCATCCTCATGATTCATTTTCTACTTTTAACAAAGAAAAGTTGATTGAGTTTGCTAGATTTTATCCTTTGGAGTTTGATGAGCTTGCAAATATTCCTTTTCTTTCTTCAAGTCTCAGTAATTTTATTGTTGATGTAAGAGCTGATTCTGATTTTGTCAATTTGAAAAGCATTTCTGACCTAGCTTTGAAGATGGTTGAGAAGAGAAAGAATATTGTTTATCTAATGGTCTATTTGTTGATAAAGTTGACTCTCCTTCTATCGGTCGCAACTGCTAATGTTGAGCGAGTTTTTTCTGCAATGACTTTTGTCAAGGATAAGTTGCACAATCGGATAAGTGATTATTGTTTTAACGCATGCATGCTAACTTATGTTGAACGTGATATATTTGAGAAGATTGATGATGAAGATATAATGCAATATTTTCAAGCAAGAAGAATCGAAGAATGCTTTTGTAATTGTTCTATTGTAATAGCTTAGTTTACTCTTGATTATTTTCTTTTCTTGTTTATATTATTTTGTTTTTTAATGCATTTAAAATTTTCTTTAATTTTTTTTTTTAATTAGATAGTTTGGCCACTTTGGAACTTTTTTGCATTTTCCTCCATTTTAGTGTACCAGCTTTTCATGGAGGTTAGTCACTGTTAATTATGCTAATGCAAATGTTAAATACCTTTTTTGTATTGAAATTAAATGTCACTAATTCTGATGTATACTCTTTTTCAGGTAGTAACTGAAGAGATAGGATGACTTGATACTTGCTTCACTGGTAACATTTAATTTATGTATCATTTTTACTAGTTTATGTTTCTATCTGCCTAGAGTTGCTATTCACCCTATATGTTTTTCCTTCTTTCTTGACATTTTTAGTCCGGGGTTGCTAAGTATTTGTCTGTAAAATCATTGGGCTGCTTATGACAAATCAGGGTAGGCTGGTTTTGGTGGAAAAAGGTTATATCATTTTTATCAATGCAGGAGCATTGATAAGTCAACTCCTCCATGTGAAAGTTATATTAAAAAAAAATTCGGAGGCGCTGCCCCCGAACTCCGGCCATTAAATGTACGGACATGAATTACTTTATCTAGGCCCGCCACTGAATGTAGATATATAATAAAATTGCATTCATGTAGCTTACGCATGTGTTATGATACGATGTATTAGGATATGATAGTTATGATATAATATGATGTGATATGTGATTATATGATATGTAGTGGTATGACATAATGTAATAGATGGATAACGGTTCTAATCAATGAACGCATATATATGTGATCTTCCATGGGATACAGCTCTTGAAGTGAATCCATAGAAATATAGCCCATGGATTATCATATATGATTTTTTTGCGAGAAACAACTCCTAGAAATATATGTTTTGGCTCTTTTTGCCGGATAACCCCCGGAATATAACTCCCAAAATCTTATATGGAGTAAACACCTTTTTTAGTCCCTGACAATATCTACGAAGTTCTTTTCAGTCCTGGCAATAAAAAAGGACCAAATTGGTCCCTGAAAGTACAAGAAAAGGGCCACTCTACATATTTGGGAGTTGACATAAGAACTAACATGGCCATTTTTTTGTAATTTCAGGGACCAATTTGGTCCTTTTTTATTGCCAGAGACTAAAAAGGACTTCGTAGATATTGACAGGGACTAAAAATGGTATTTACTCATCTTATGTGTATATGTTTGAATTTCTTTGTGGGACATAGCCCATGGAGTATAGTCCGGATTTTTTTTCTTTTTTCTTTTTTTTTTGTCTAAAACCGAAGATCCATCTATGGTCACTCTGATCATGTGGCAGGGCGATAAATGCACGTTCGATGTAAGAGGGAACGTGATATAGACAACTATGGTATCAATAGTGACAGGACAGCTGAGCAATAAGTACAGTCTTGTCTTTCTAACATTTTCTATTCCCAATAACAGTGGCTATTCCACCGTCAAACACTTATCACAGTTGCATGCATGTTCACAACAAAGTGGCTATTCCATGAGCTAACACTTATCACAGTTGCATGTTCTGAACTGTTCAGCATCTCTGCAAAGTGGGAATAAAGTGACTTAATATATTTGTCGTGCAGATGATTTATTAAATTCGAAACAAATACAAACTGATTCTATGCATAAATTTTTGGATACTTATGCAATGATTTATCAGTTCTTAACAAGTAATTTTATCTCTTTTTTACGCGACATAATAGTATCCTGTATATATAAACAAAGAATGATTTAAAATAAAATGCATGGGCCTTAATTTGATGTCTTTAGACTTTTAAGTTTCTTGCAGTTTTTTTTGGGAGGGTCTTTAAATAAGGGTTTTATGAGTTTTTTTTTTCACGACGATTTATAAAAATAAGCTAACAATCATCTTTTTCTTTTAGGTAATAACTAACAATCATCTTAATTTGTTAAAAGGAAAGCGTAAGTAGTCATGTGCATTCTCAAAATTTTAATCATCTTTTAAGTAATTAAGGTTGAAATTAAATTTTAGGTGAACTTAGCAATTAAAAAAAGAAAGAAAACTATTAAATTTTTCTTAAAAACTAGTTTAACAACATTCCTGATTATCCACGGATGAAAGAAAAGAGCAAAAAGATATTGTGTATTTTTTTTTTTTTTTGAAGTTACCCAACCCTAATTATCTCTTTGAGACGAGTTGGCTCCCTCCGGTATCCCCACGAGCTTCGACTCTTTGAGCCGGCTATGGGACTAATCCGGAGTGCGGGGGAACAGTGATGGCTAAAGGTTCAGCCCCCTCCCCAAAATTCAGTGGAAATCGAACACATATCTAACCCCACTAACTCAGCGCCAAGTTACCAACTGAGCTGCACCCATTGGGTAGATATTGTGTATTTCTTTTGTCACCTCTCTAACTTTATATAATAAAAAGAGTAAAACTTCCTTAATTTTTGGAGTTTTATCTTATAATGTTATATAATAAATATTAGTAAGCCTTAAAATGAAAACCTCCATAGGGGTAAGTCTATATATTATTCGTATATGATAAATAATACCATTTTTTTTTCCTTGAATTAAATTATTAAACAAGAATTCACCAAAAACAATTTTTAGACAAGAAAAGTTAACCGTGGAGTCCAACGTTCAGTTAGATTTTTTGTTCTTATTCATGGTAATCATTTCAAGCCCTAATTTTATATGATTAGACCACATCTTATAGTTTTATTTGGTTATCTTAATATCAATAGGCAATAGCCACCTTATTTGTGTTGGGTCACTCGGAATGAAAAGTTATATTCTGTTCAAGCCCTAAATGTTTACAAAATCACTTTATAAAAATAAGATACGTATGAAAAGTTATATTCTGTTCATCAACAACCAATAGGCAATAGCTACCTAATTTGTGTTGGGTCACTCGGAAAGTTTCAAACATCGAAGTAATCTATTTTAAATGAATTAAATAATAAATTACACAAGTCAACTTATATAATTTTTCAATTTAAAGTTTTAAATGTTAAATTAGAGCCCTTCTATTATATATAGTTCTTACCTTGTTTATTCTTATTCAAGATGAGATTTTTTTTTTTTTTTTAGAAATATTTCAATCGGTTCATTGCTTCGCAACTAATCCGATTCGGGGCGGGTCCAGGATTAAGACTTTATAACACTCATGTTCACACTTAAATTCTCAACCTTCCTTCTATTTTCTTTTTCATATTCTTACGTTATAGTATAAGATAGCCAAAGCATATATTCTGTTAAATGTTAGTTTTCGAAAATAATAATAATAATGAGTGGCTCATAATTGACTGGCCACAGATAGGTCACACCGGCTATCATAAATCGGACCCTTGATTTAGACCGTAGTTATAAGCGCTGAGCAGCCAGCCAGCCACTATATATAAACATAGGAAATTTTGGAAAAAAGAACGGACATTTTGGATTTTTCCCAGATGGGAACCATCATCATCTTCTACCAAATTCTTCGAGGTTTGTAATTGACGAGAAGAATATGAAGATTCAAAGTTGAGTGGTCCCTATATAGCTTTCATGGATGACTTTTTCTTACCTTGATAAATTTTAATATGCATCCAAACGGAAAGACCCAGCTGGTATAAGCAGTTTAATTAAGACATGGAACTTGTTTGAATTGGACATGCATTGACAATATTTTGCATTGAATATGATGTGTTATATCAAATTTTATAGAAATCCATCAAATTCGTGGAAAATAATAATGCACGAAAGAAACAAAATGGAGATGGATTACATTTTAGCCAAGTCATGATTATCATGAGTCCAAATAACTTAAGTCTCTTTTGTTTGGTAAGAGTTTTCGTGAACCACAAATTATATTTAATTATTATAAGTGAATATATATACATATATTGTGTGTGCGCTGTCATTCAAATAATATTAAATAGTTATTAGATATATAAGCATATAACAATCACATGTCTAAGTTGTCGGCAATACGTAATGGATTGATGTTTGATTGGCAAATTTATTGCACAAAACATCAACTTCGAAGATCATACAAGCTGAAGTTGTGTATTGTTACACACTTCTTTTATAATGGAATAATTCGTCAGGAAATGTACTGTAGTACTTAATGATTTCATTACTTTGATTTTTTTTTTAATTCTATATATGTGCATGTAATAAGGTGGAAAAAATACCGAAGATAGGAAGTTTTATACTACTATTCCCATTTTGTCATGTCATTGTTGAATACTTATCTTGCAGCTATTCAACGTAGGATAGTAGGCTTAGTCTCCTCAAAAGGCCCAACATCCAAAACTTCAAGCTAAGGAAATGCAGTCATATGCATACATTGACAATCTCGCAAATACACTAACACTTGATAACAACAACTTAGTCCAATGCGACTACACGTCGTCAACATCACATGACTCTATAACTTCTTTAATAGCCAATAACTAAAGGACAGATATATGCTTCCAGTTACACCTATAGGATGTAGCCCATCAATGGGAAATATTAAATCACTAAAAGATTTGACCCAACGTATAAATCAGAAGAGATAGATGATCAGAAATATCATTGTATAATTATAAAAAATTAAAACAGACTTACTTGATGTCAGATGATGAAATAGATTGAATCAGAGGAATGAAAATGCAGAATTAGAGGAATAAAATCTGAGCCCACAGAACGTGTCTCCTTAAGACAATTTGCCCCCTCACTGATGCCTAAGGTAGATGGACACTTGTCTCCCAGGATAGAACGGATTTCGTCTGAAGAGTGGCGGCACTACCAGTCAACAGCCCAAATGAACACAACAAAATGCCAAAGGAAATCACACCGGAGTATGAACAGGAATATGCAAACCAGAAGGAGGGAAAAAATCCGACAGAGTTTCAGTGCAGAAAAAACTGGAAGGATGAACCGCCGCCGACGACGAACCGCCGTGTCTGACGGCCGCGAATGGGTGTGACCGGTGACCGATTCGGCGAACGGGAACAACTGGTGACCGGTGACCGGTCCGTGAGCAG